AAAAGTATTCAATATGAAGAGCAGATATTCTAACTCATATTATTATACAACAGCATACAGATTTAAGAACATACATATAAAATATATGTATATATATACATATATATATAATTGGAGGGGGGGAGAGAGAAAGAGAGAGCGCGCAATTAAAATAATAACCTTAAATTTGTAAGCAATGATTTTATATCAAATATACTTAAAAAATAACATAACCTATTTATAAATATTTTCAATAATTTTATGTACCATTAAAAACAATGTTAAATAAGATAGAGAAATAATCACCTTGGATAAAAATCACGTTGCGACAAAACAACGATAATACAATCGAGAAGAAAAAGATTGAAATTGTCGGAATTACAGATAGATGGCATTGTATATAATTTATTTTCTATACTTTGGTATGTGTCTAAGCATATACATTAATGATTTGATATCCTGAGTATATCCTAACAATATACGGTAAATTAATTTTACATAATGTTACATGGATAATAAATTATTAATTTTAACTTAGTTTAAAAAAAATTTACCTCGCTATCTTTTCTCGTAAGATTTTACAAAATTTTTTATATATTACAAATTAAAGGCTTATTTTCAAGTATAATAACTAAACCAAAATGGAAAGGAAAAGAGAAAAAAAACCTACAAACCTAACCTACTATGGCGCAGTAGCTAATAAATCTTGGGCTTTTACAGAAAAGCAGAGGTTAGGATTGAACGTCGAATTCTTCCTCGAAAAAAAATCCATAAAAAGATATTAATCGAAACGCATATGTACTAAGACGAGATTACGAGGTACGTATCGCAAAATGTTGTTTAAAATGAGCGGAAATATTATTATGAGAAATTATGTCACTCTATCAAAATCTTGATTGTTGAAACGGTTACGATACATCAAGCAAATTTTAATATTATTATTAATCACGATTTTCTACAGATGAATCCTGCGTTACGCACAATCCGAGCTTTCATTCGCTCTACAAGACACGCTAGGTATAGCACTCTACCTTCAGAAGCAGTAATCTTCACAGAGGATGATCGTATGGTCGTCTGCTGGCATCCAGAGAAACCGTTTCCATACGAGTATTCCTTACCTCTGCCCGAGGAAAAACCTGACACAACCATATTGTGTATTGGAGAGAAAGATGTCACAGATGTCTTTCGGAAGAAGAAACCATATCAAGTTGTAGAAGAACTAGCAAAGATTACATATACTACCAAACACAGGTGGTATCCTAGGAGCAGGGACAAGAAAGCGAAAATTACATCACCTGACAGATCATATCTGTAGAGGAATACGAAGTGTCTTAATGGAGAAGCACCATATTTAATTCATTTTATACATATAGTTATGTTTTGCAAAATATGTATTGATAAATATACAAAGATTAATTATTAACAGTTCATGAATTAGCCATAAATTACATTGCTTAATTTGTCCATGTCTTCTAAGAATTTAAGTATCATAATTCCATGTTTTTATGTTACAAATTAAACGAAGATGTTTATCTCTCGTTACAATGTTAGATATGTATGATTTTTACATGCACCTTTTTTTAGTGCCGAGTCCTTAAAAATACATATATTTATTTTATATATTTTATCAAATTGCACGCAATTATTTATATATTCTGCGAACTTAATTGGCAAAAAATAATTAATATAATCATCATACTTGGTTACTGCACATCATAATATACAATTCTTTTTGCTATATATACATATAAAATTTATCGCGGTATCAAAAACTGATTTATTATATTACAATTTATCTTACTTTGCTCGCATCATAAATCATTGGGGAAAAGCTGCCTTTCTCCCTCCAACATAAAAATTTGCAAGGCTTTATATAATAAGTATCTACCAAATTTCGTTTTTGTCTGATGCTCCATGTTGCTACGATGCCGTAATACTCGCCGCCTCTAGAATTTTTCAAGTACTCCTTTCCGATCGCGTCTATCATGGCAGCCTCTCTCGTGTAAGCCTCCACTGGGATAATGTTTTGAAACACATGCAAACATATCACACCATGACCGCTGTTCCATATATCAAGAATGCATTTGATTTTTTCGTTTGTGGTGCTCAAGCCATCCCTCCATATCTTGAAAGCATCATAGAGATGAGCGAAAGGTCTGGAACGTTTACCCTTGCCAATGTAAAATATAGCGTTATAAAAAGTCGACCAAACTTCTGGTTCTGTGAGACTACGATTTGGTAGATTTTGCGTTATACGCGGATCTAATAACAAATAAGTGAATGATGTTCTTGATGTGCCCTCCCGCCATCTCCGAGACGGATCTGGAAATGCAAATTCTTGAAATACTTGTTTCTCCAGACTTTCGTAAGTATTCAAATGATTTATCCATTGTCCAAACTCTAAATCAGATCTAATGTTGTTGTTCAATCTTGCGTAATTTCTTGGAAGATTCTGCGAATTTGATGAAGTAGGGTTAACATCCTTAATACTTCTTAAACGCAAAAGACGTTTTTTGTAAAGCGGTCTGGTTGTATCGATGATCGGACCAGGTTGATCACCAAGTTGTTTAAGTTCTCGTCTAAGAGCAACATCATCAATAAACAATAGCTCTTCTGGCAAATTTCGAGAAGTGGATGCATTTGAAACATCTGTAATAAACAAATTTTCCATTTATATTGATATAATAATTTTATAATTAATAATAATGTATTATTGTTGAAATTATTTGCAACTTACCAGACATAGTCGTTTTACTTCTGGTATCGTGTTCAGTTCTATTGGAAGTACTGAAAGATTGTATAGAAAGAATGATAAAATTAATTATTTGATAAGCTTGATCTTCTCTTTGTTGCAAACTAATTCAGTAATTAATCTTGATATATAGATAATATATAGATAATATAGAAATAAAAATTATAATTATAAAAATAATACTTGCAAGTCTCACCTAAGTGGTGTAACGCAAAATCGTCGTTCTAATAGAATTACACCTTTTTCTGGATCTTCATATTTGTATTCTTGAGCACTAACATATGAAAGCAGAGACCTATAATTCAGAAAATTATTTTTTCATATTATACTTTATATTTTGTATTTCGAAGTATTTTGAATTCTGCATGTATTTATTTTAAAATTAAAAAAAACTAAATGTTATAAAATTTCATTAAATGTTTTAAAATTTAAAAACAAGATTGATTATTTGACAAATATGTATGAAGTATTATTTCTTATGAGTATATTACTCGAATCTTAAAAAATGAAATTTGATTGTCAGATTTGACTTGAATTTTTTAAGTACATAAACTTAATCTCATTTTTTATTATTAAATATAGAGTGTTATACTCACGAATCTTCAGTTTGATGCACGTCTAAGTTTTTTGTCTTCAGCATCAAATCCTGTATCCTCTTAGAATCGATTCTTCTTGAAGAATACGAGTTTCGAGAATCCGATAAACAAATTCGTTTCTTATATGAATTATTTTCTTTAGGCGAGTTATGTAATGGAAGTTCATGAAAGCTGTCATTGCACCAATTTTTCGCATGAAAATTACAGGTCTTACTTATATTCATATTTAGATCTTCATTTAAGAATTTTTTAGTATCACAATCGACACAATCTACAGAATTTTCTTTATGCGACGAATCAGATTCGATTGGACACGTAGATTTTATATTACTAGTAAAAATATCTATCGATTTTTCTGGTATTTTATCTATATTATGTATTGTTTCGGTTGTTATAAATTCAGTATTCACTTTATCTTTTAGATATATCTTATTATTGCTGAAAGTATCAAGAAGTTCTTCGTTCTCTTTCTCAATTTGATTAGAATTGCTACTTGTATCTAAGATATTTGCATCACTGTTATCATCCATTGTACTATCTTCATCATATCTTCTTTCATCCAACTTTATTGCCAAATCATTATTACACAGATTGCTTCGTTTTATTTTTGAAGATTTTGTAAAATTCGTTGATGAAAATTCACTACTTGTATCTAGAATATCGTAACGAGTTGTATCTCTAAATGTTCCCAAAAAAATAGTTTTGTTCAAATCAATTAACTTTAGTTTATTAGAAGTAAATTCATCAGAAGTAACATCACTTTCATATCGATAAGGATCAAATCTTTTTCGGCTCGAATGGAACCTGTATATCGATCGTTTTTTTCTTCTCGGTGTTGACTGAGCAATATGTTTTTTATCCCAATTAAACTCAGACATTTGGTTTTTGTATTCACGAGATTTCTTGAATTTTGGAGAATAGTCATCTGTACATGAGATCTTTGTCAGATTTCTTTTTTTACAGACTGGTGTAAAATTAGGTGACTTGCTAATGATAGAATCATCGCAAATATGTGATGGTATTAACGGAGTTTTATAAGCATTTCTCTTTTTTCTATGATTAGGCGTATTAAAGTTCGGTGACATGCTAATGATAGAATTATTTAAGACGCGAGTCGGTGTTAAAGAAATCTTGTCGGAGATATCTTTGCATTTTCTTTTAGAAGTGTTTCGTATATTATGCTTTGAGTATTGTCTTTTTATATTCAAAGTCTCAAGTTTTAAGGTATCTTTATCAGGATTATTCTTTATTTTACATGAATTCTTTGGCTTTTTATATTTAGAACACGCATTTGCATCTTTCATTAGATGGATTGATGCAACAGAATTGTTTTTCTTTCGCTTGTTTTTTTGTACTTATGTAAAGTTTCGTCAATAGTGCAATTACTTGTTAACGACGATGAAAGATGATTAATAATCTGACTAACGAGGCACCTTTCCTTTTGCATGACATCGGAAAGATGTAAATTTGCAAAGTCGAAATCGAGATCGACAAACGAATAATTTTGTATCTTTTCCTCATCAGTCTGCAAAAGATTATTCTGTATTTGAGCGGTCGCCATATTATTAGCTCTACAGCCATCTAAATTATTTGCCAGTTTGTACTTCGTTTCAATGACAGCGCGTGCATCTGTAACAAGGCTCGTGTCTACAATCATCGAAGAAGAGTTTAATTTACAATTGGAAGATTCCAATTGTAAAGCAAGCGTACTATCTAACACATCTTTTGATGCAACATATTCGGCGATCATATCCCCAGTAGTAATTAAAACTTTATCTGCAATATTAAAAAAATAATGAATAACAATTTAACAATTATCTATAGACTAAACATTTGCAGAATCATCTTACCAAGTTCCATATTATACTTTGGTTTGTCATCCTCGTCTTGAATATTTGTGCAGTAATTTGAAAGTAATGTGATGGCTTTAAAATACTTTCCATCGAAGGCATAGTGAAATGGACTACGTCCATCATTGTCCAAGCAGAATGGATCACCACCGTTTGCCAGAAGCAACTGCAGTATGTTTATCCTGCCCCAAGCTGCTGCTACGTGAACTGGAGTCATACCATCATTTGATCTAAGAGCACACTGCGTTTATTGCACTTATGTTTGCATATAGAAAGTTGCTATAATCACAGTTTGGATTATACCTCACATTGGGGTTGCCACCATGACGTAAGAACAGCTTGGTCACTTCCTCTGCAAATTCCTCTGAATCGTTACCGATAACTAAATGAAATGGAGTAATTCCGTGTGCCGGAATCAAGACATTAGGATCCGCATCTTTATTTAATAAGAGAGTTGCCACTTGTCTGCATATAAAAGATTTACAAATCAGCTTAAGTTCTCATGTTTTTAAAAAACTTCAAATGCAAATGCAAGTTATATATTCGTTGTGACAATTGTTTTGTACCTTATGTTATTATCCTCAAGCCCATCGCAGAGGGATGAAGCCAAAAATAAGCCACCTTTTGTTTTTGGAGTTGACATCTTCTCACTTTCGTCCGGGACACCTAATTGCACATAACGTCCACCGAGGTACGTCTCATATATGAAAACACTTTAGAGCGTGGCAATTGTTTGTTTTTATACGCGTTTCACAATAACGAATAAAAAATGTAACGTAGAATAACAAATCGATCATTATCAATTTACAATGTTACCGTTTTCGAACTGCTTTAACAGATTAAGATTCAAACTTTCGTATAATAAAAACATTGACGCCGAATTTGGAGCAGACTGTAAATACAGAGCGTTGCAAGTTGTCACTGCACATCTTTTGTGAAATATAATCATTGGTCATGCGCAGTATACCACAGTATGCGTTGGTTCGTTGACACACGAGGACAATGCATGGTATAAAGCCTGAGACACAATGAAAAGGTATAGGAAACAGGAACAAGGAATAGCAATAGGCAACAGATTTCGACCAATCAGAAGTTGTGAAGAATATCGAAGATATTTCTGATTGGTCAAAATCTGTTGCCCGTTCCCTATTCCCTGTTATCTGTGTTTTTCATTGTACATCCAGTTTAAGTCTCGGTCTACAATAGGTGATTTAAAGCCGTAAGAAATTGACCAATCATAATAGACTATTTTCCTATTCTTCGACTATGATTCGTCCATTTTTTATGGCTCAAGGCTTAAATCACCTATTGTAGATTAAAGAAACAAGGTATGCTCTTGCGCATGAAAATGGAGCAACGAAGATGATGGAATAAGTAGCCAGCTATATTAATAAATCAGCCAAACAGCGTTTTTCTTGCGATATTCAAAATGTAGTATAAATAAGGAAAGGACAATTAATGAATTTATTTTTTTTGAGACCTACTATTATGACTTTTATTATTAATAATTATTAAATTCTCTATTATCAAATCACATGTCATATAGTCACAAATTTGTTTATTTTACTATTATTTTCCAATATGGAAGGCGACTTGTTCCAACGTCATATCTGCGCAGAACGGATCCAAATTGGATCTCTACGAGCATACCTTGGCTGCGTTCGTAACTTACTGGCAGTACTGCCAGCATGACGTCATTATAGAGTGCTATGCAAGCGTTCCGTTTTTACTAGTTCATTACGCTTACTGTGAAATTGTGGAAATGGAACGAGATTGAACAATACTGCATACAACTGCATATGACGCTGTCATATAATAATATAAGAAAATGGAAAGTTTTTATAATTAATAATACATGCACATATAATGGAATCAAGTAATGATGAATCTGATAGTGACTCTGATGCAATGAAGAAAATGTTAATATTAAAGAAAAGTAGATCAAATTTTATACCTAAAATACGTTGTAGAAGATGTAATATCTCGATATACAAACAAAGAATTTAAAACTCACTTTCGATATATTTTTATAATCTTTTATTCTTTGTAGATACGATAAACTGTTTCTGTAATTTTACTAAAATATATTTATTTTAGATTACATCGGAATACATTCTTTTTATATTAGAATTAATAGAGTTAATCTTAGAAAGAGATGGAAAATCAGATAGATGCATCTCTCCTGAAAAGCAATTATTAAAGCAATAATTATTAAAGCAATAATTTCGTATATAATAATGTTTATATAAACTTGGTGTAGTGCGAATGACCGAATCTGTTATATTAAACTTTATTTTTATCTCGCAATGCTTTTTGTGCGTTTTCTTTATTATTATTTTATATTGAATATTTGTTTCTGCATCGAGTAAGGTGTAAGTAACTCTTCTTTCTCGAACGTCACCATTTTGTACTGTGACTGCTGCGTCTTTTTAGCTACAGTAGCTGCAGCAGAAAGTGACGACAAAATTTATGACGTCATTATTCTATTGTGCTATCGTAGCACACTGGAATGAATTTCGAAACGGCATTACAGTACTGCCAGTACTGGCAGTAAGTTACGGAACGCAGCCCTTATCCCCTTACCATAGAACAATGATTCGTCTCAAGTCAGTTTGGACTTTATGATCTACATGAAATATTTACTTTATATTAGGGAGATTATAATTTGATATTATAGCCTGAAGATATTGTCTCGATCACCGTCAATGCGTTTTCTTCACATTATAGAATTTTAAAATTAACTCTTTAAATTCAGTTTATTTTTTTAACAGTTTTCGAGTGCATTGGGTTTTCATTAGGCTGATGGTAGAGAACGAAATGTTGCGCTGTCTCGTTCTTTGCCATCAGCCTTAATCTGAGACAACGTGCATTATTTTGTAAAACAAATGAAATTAAAATATAATATTTATTACATTATATTAATGAATTATATTAAAAATTCATTTCTTTATTAAAGCATTTTGTTATATCTTTCTGCTATTACTTGATAAAATCAATTTTATAAATATTATTGAAATAGACTGGAAATCTCATCAAATTCCAATTTTTAATAAATGTGTTCAAATTGTCATAAATGGCATTAGTAACACGAAAACAATAAAATTAAAACATTCCTTTTGCTTGAGAATTTTCATACGGTGTAAGATCTTGTAAATTCAATTAAAAAATAAATAATTATTTTTGTTATAATTATTTATTATTGTATATGCTTAAGATGATAAACATGTAACAACTGCCAATACAAGTTGCACTTAAGCTATTCTTATTTACAGTTGATTAAAACTAGTTTAAAAGCCAAAATAGATTACATATATATAGAATAGATCTAAACGAAATTGACATGTTTCTATATAGGAATA